AAAAATAATATTTAAAAACATGTCCATACAAATGATAAAAGTAGTAGAATTACAACCGCTAATGTTTTTTAATTTCCATATCACCATATTTTGATTTAAAACATGTTCTTTTCTCTCCCTTCGTCCGCCATTACTAGCTTAAAAAAATCTCCGGTCGGGCCGCAATGCATTATGGGATATGCTGGGCTGGGAAGGATCCATCGGACCTGTCCTTCGATTCGGGCCAAAAGAAGGACGTATTTTTGTCGGACGCATCGGAGGAGTCTTCGGTTTTGGACGTCCTTCGTCGCGGCGCTGTGACGTATGCAGCCGACAAATTCGACCTTCGGAGGACCCGTCCTGCCGTTTTGGACACAGCCTATGGTGCTCCAGGGCGGAGCCTATAGTGCTCCAGGGCGGAGCCTATGGTGCTCCAGGGCGGAGCCTATGCTGCCCCAGGGCGGAGCCTATAGTGCTCCAGGGCGGAGCCTATGGATGAACTACTGTAAGACGTGTTCCTGTTGGTTAATGTTGACTGAAACGATTTCCACATGCACCTGCTCCAAAGTGTCAAACGTTATCACCAAGCATCAACAGACACTTTATAAAGGTTTTCACGTTTAAAAAGGATAATTTATGATCTTTGTTGTGGCTAAAAATACTTGAACATTAAAAACCTCTTGACTGATATTTATACAGACAAACTGGTCAACAAAATAAACAGAACCTATGTAACTGTAATTTATATTTCATATTTGATTATTAAATTACACTTTTCATAAAATCTGGTTCCAAATATAACCAATTTTGGTCATTAAAATCCTCAAATGGTCAGTTTTAAACTGGTAGAATAATAAACTAAATTATAGAGCTGATATTTATGATAAATAAAAACATTTCTTCAGAGACAGAACATTGAGGGGTTTGGAGAAAAAAACATGAAAGCTTAGAGACACCTTTGTACGACGGAGCATCAGGGCCACACAACGGGATTTTTAAATTATTATTACGAGATTAAAGTCATATTATTACGAGATTTAAGTCATAATATTACAACAATAAAGTCATAATTTTACGAGAATAAAGACATAATTACGAGATTAAAGTAGTTAAATTATTAAATTCATAATTTTACGATATTAAAGTCGTAATATTACGAGAAAAAAGTCATAATCATGACGTGTCTATTTCTCATTCCTCATTGTTTTCCTCCCACCTGCTGTGTACAGCCGTGTGTCTGTGTTTATAAAGTAGTCCATGATGACTGAGGTCACTGTTAGATTAATACGCTTTCATCCAAAATTAGCTACGTGACGACTAAACCCATTAATGCATCCATTAATTACAATACAGCTTCAATTTATGGTCGTTTGCACAATTTCCAAGTCCTGCTACTGATAATTTGATGCTAATGTGCTAAAAGAATAACTATTTATTATTACCATAGTAATACTAAAGAACAACTTGAGAAGTTGCTCAACATTCCTCATTTTAATGCAGTAACTGCATGCTTTTTCGTAATATTATGACTTTAATCTCGTAATGTTACGACTTTATTCTCATATTATGACAATATTTTTATACGACTTTAATGTTGTAATATTATGACTTTAATGTCGTAATATTATGACTTTAATCTCGTAATATTATGACTTTAAACTCGTAATATTACAACTTTAAACTCGTAATATTACGATTTTATTCTCGCAATATTACGACTTTATTCTCATAATATTATGACTTTATTTTATATGACTTTAATGTTGTAATATTATGACTTTTTTCTCGTAATTTAAAAAAAATTTAGAAATCTCGTTGTGTGGCCCTAATACTCCCTCGGAACAGAGAAAGCAGGAGATGCTAATGAATTACCACAAATGGTTGAAAAGATGGGCCTCATAAAATGAGTTACCATAAACTGCAGAAAAGTTGTGTTGTGTTAAATAAATTACTGTATATGCAAAAACATTTCTACAACAACAACAACAACAATTTCATTTTCCTGGAATTTAACAAGCATTTTGAGTCCATATAAAACTTCATTTTGATCTGGCTCTAGATTGCAGTCCACCATTTGATAAGTTTACAGTTTTCTACTCATAAAAATGATAGCATTTTGTTTTATATTAACATTACACATTCGAGGTGGGGAGGTCTGGGTCTGAAGGCAGCCGAACATGCAGGTTTCTGAGTACCCAGAGAAAAATCCACACAAACACGAGGAGAACATGCAAAGTCTACACAGTAAGAACCCAGGTCCGAACCGGGTCTCGAGCCCAGGACCTCCTTGCTGTGAGGCAACTAAGCCATCA